GTTGATAAGCGACGAGCCACCCCTTTCTGATATTTCAGGCATATTTATATTTATAAATGTTTATGCAGTAGTGTACTGTACTGTATACTGTAATAATCTCTTATCTAGCAAAGTTTCAACAAGCTGGCCAATAAGTGCTAATGTTAATCATCAGCAGAATAACAAATAAATTATATGAAACCAGTAAAAACTTACACCATTGCTTTTAAATATTTATGAAAAGTATAAGATACAGGAAAACTTCAAGCTTATGTACGTCCATGTTTTATATGCTACTGGAGGTTTTCTACCTGACAGTACAAAGTATATGCATCAAACTAAAGGCAACACTTCGGAATAAGTCATATATCAGAAAGCAGAACACAAAGAACAGAATACAAATGCGCACTGCTGTTTCCATGACCAAAGTTCTCATACAGTGTACAATACTGACTGGTCGCAGAGCTGGTCCTAAGTCCTCGTGGAGTGAGGAGTGTCTGTAATGGTTTCAAACACATTTTCTTGGAAGGTGCATCTCCAGGAGAGGGACTGGATTTTAATACTTTTTAATAGTTTCTAAACTGCTTATCTTAAGGAGTACTGGCATGGCACCTGAGTCTATGTTGTGGGATTCTACAGTAGGCATTAGCATTGAGTAGCGAGTCATATGGCATTAACCCCTGCTCCTGCAGTCCTAATAAAACTGCTGAAGAGGTATGAAAGTATTTGGCTATGTATTTGTTGTCTTGAGCTATATTATGTTGCAACAGAGGCAGAAAAAGTTCTGCACAACATTGTTACTGTTTGGAATTGGAGTAACACTATTAAATATTCAATTCCTGATGAAGTCCCAGCTCCATGGTCTGTTGGATACTCTTCCCAAATGGAATTCTATGTTCCTCCTCTGTGGAATTTTCCTTCCTGGCCAAAGATATGATTGGTCATGCTGTATTTCCTATAGGTATCCTGTAGGTGGGTTACCCTGTCTGTGACCAGCCATGGGTGTAATTTCCTGTTCACAGTGCTAGTAAAGATAGACAGTTGGTCCTCTGCTACGCTGTGAGTGAATTTCAGTATGCACCAGTATGGAGTGGTCCCGCTGCTTTCTGTGCACTCATAGTATTTAGTTATTGTTGCTCTACTAAAGATATTTGTAGATACATTATCATTTTAATTTAATTACCAATATTATTCTCCCCTCAGATTAAAACTAGACATAAACATAGACTGGAGCATCTCTGAAGTTTCCATAACACCAGATTGCACCACTATACCAATGTAATATGTTCACCCTTTGGGGTTGGCGGACCCGTCGGCGGGATCTGACAGAAATTTCGCCAAACCGTTTAAATAACTCTGCGAGTTTTTGTCATATACACATTTAAAAAACACCCTCAGAAACCTTGGACGGTCTACTTTTCAAATATATATAGGTAGAAACTAAATATATTTTTACAGCTTCGTGATATGAATAGAAAGACCAAGAGTGACTGACTAAAGCGTCTGCGTCTTGAAGCAGCTCTGTTCGCCTTCCCATTTGCAAATCGCGCTATTCGCATGATAATAACATGATAATCCGACAGTTAGTATTGGCTAAAAAAATTTTTGAATACGCCCATTGTGACCAAAATAAACAAGAGCACATGTCTGGGTAGCGTTTACACTGATCGGCTACAATATGGCACACGGATACGTCTCTGCCGCTGAAGCTTTGCGCCAATGAAACAGAGAGAATACACTGAGAAACTACCAGCTGTATCTAAATAATTTGTTGAGTGAAAAAATTATTAACTTTGCTTTATTTATTTTACAAATTGTTTTAAATGACAGAAACCTGAGATAATGCCCACTAAGCAGCTGGAGAACACTGGAGCACCATCATCATCACCTACCGATGCCATGGAAAAGCAACAGGCAGCCTCCAGGTGTTCTCCACAGGTAACTGTACTTATTGGTGTGATGATTATTTTGGAACTCAGGTACATTAGTTTAAAGTGCAATGAAATGCAGAAAATCACACTATCTGACTAAGTCAATACTTGACTGCATCACACACTCTATTCATTGAAGCCAGAAAGTATGTTCCTGAACTTACAGTTGTAGAAAAATTAAGAGACCACTCTATATTTTAAACGAATCTGCATTTTTAAATCCTGGTTTAATCATGGTTCTGCTGGCAGAAGGCTGTGCTGAACAGCAGGATACTTACAGGTTCAAAATTTTTAAGACAGCAGGACACAGGGATAAGATGAAGAGGGAGACTCTGGGAATGACCAGAAACTGGCCAGGTAAAGGGAGGAAGCAACTTTCTAATGCCAGAGATGACAGTTAACTTATCCGAGAGTTTCTTGTGAATTGAAGTATGACATCAAGTGACCTTCGAATGGAATGGGAAACATTAAGTGCAGGTGTGAAGTGCACTGATAGGACTGTGTGTCATGCTTCTAAAAACAGAACTGCAATTCCATAAAGCAAGGAAGAAGCCCTTCATTAATGAGAAAGACTGAAGAACCAGGCTGCCATTGCCATAAAAATACATATTGTTCACCAACGCACACCCACAAATTGAGAAATGAGTGGGAAAAAAATTGTGCTGTGGTCTCTTAGTTTTTTCTGCGACCGTATGTCTAAAGATTTAGTATAAAAACACATAACCTTTGAACAGGATTTTTAAAATATTATGTACTTCTTTTGCATTTAAGTTAATTTATAATGATTTTTCTCTACAGTGCTGTAGACGTGACATGTGTGCTACAACCATTTCAAATTTAGACAAGTGTATCCAATGTGTTGGACCTATATCTTCTCTGAAGTGGCTTGGATTTCAGTGTAAAGGTAGGTATTACAGGGTTCACAAAAATAATGTTTTTGTCTACGAGTCAGTTTGGTTAATTCTGTTTCTGAATGTGCTCATTTTGTGTGGAAACTTATTGTGGCCAAAATAAAAATGTAA